CTTCTCCTTGAAGTCACCCCAAGCCCAGGTGGAAGCATCTTTTCATACTGTTTCTCCAACTCTCTGCTCCAAAATTCATTTTTCCTGAGCAGGCAGCCCCGGCAGTACCCAGCATGGCTTCTTGCTCTGAGGTTAACTTGGCAGGTCCCCCAGATGCAAATCTTGCCATTGAATTCATCACTCTGTCTTTCCCGCCGTTTAGGTCTCCTCTGAGGATTTTGTGAGCTTCCTATTTCTTGTCCCCTGAGGCCAGCAAAAGCTCAATCGAGGAGACTCAGCACTTTAAGAGGCCTCACTGCATCTCTACACACTGATATAAGCAGTCCCCTCACCGCCCAGAAACACCCACCAATTCACTCTCATCCTCGAGGCAGTGAGAAGCAGGGAAAAACCGGAATCAGAGAGGTTAAGAGTGCTGAGCAACTGCTGCCATTTGAAGATGTTCATAATATATGGTTGATAGAGTACGTAGGTTAAAAAAGAACATGTCTATTACTATCTCATTTTTTATGTAAATGATCTGTGTGTATACAGGTGTGTTTTTTAAGTCTGAAAGTCTATTCACTGGGATGTGAATAGTAGTTATCTCACTGGTGAAGTTTCAGCAGCTTCTGGCTTGCATCTTTAGGCTTTCTGTATTATCTGAATATTTTTACATCAACCTGTATTATTTTTAAAACCCATTCTAGGCATGGTGGCGCATGCCTGTAATCCCAGCACTCAGGAGGCTGAGGCAGGAGGATTCCCATGAGTTTGAGGCCAACCTGGGCTACATAGTGAGTTCAAAGCCAGCCTGAACTACACAGTGAGACCCTGTCTCAAAACAAAACAAAAACAAAAATATGTTGGGAGCCCCGGAAGCTGGAAAGTAAATACATGCGTAGGAGGAAGCCAGCCCAAGAACATGGGAGCTCCGAGAACTCAGGAGGTCCTTGAAACATGTAAATAAGCCTTTGTAGCTTGTTAACTGATTGCTGAACAGCGAGGTGAAAATTAACCAATCTCTTGGTATAAATAAATGCTCTACTGTTCTTGGGTAGTTCTCCTTCTCCACCGAGAGAGAGGACCTCCACCTGACCCCAGCTTTTTGTCTCTTGTCTATGTTTTCCTCATTCTTGACACTGTTCCTTCCTTGGGTACAGCAAGAACCCAACGGATCCCTACAAAAACAAACAAAAAGCCCCAGGATAAATCAGAAAACAAAAGCCAGATATCATCAAGGACCATAGACTAGAAACAAAGGTCATTTTCTGTTCCTTAACATTATTTTTATAATAATACATTGCAGAGTTTGGGGAAAGGTTTTGAACTTCAAATATTTTCCTCCTGCTTTATTCAAATAAAAACACTCTGGCGGGGGATACAGCTCAGTGGCATAAGTGCCTGCCTGGCGAGCGCAAGGTCGTGAGTTCGATCCCTGGTACCAAAAACAAACAAACAAAAAACGTTCAATTGGGAGAGGAGGGAGAAGAATTGGACTGAGTTGATCAGGAGCAGGGAGGTGCAAACATGGAGCCAAGTTTTGAATAAGAGAAATCCCAAGGAGAATGATACTACTTCCGGGAACAAACACTACCTTCTAGTGTTATGGCCAAACACCGTGGCAGCTGCCGTCAGGAGAAAGAGCCCAGGAGTAGGCAGGAGCTGTAGTTTGTCACCTTTCTCCTTGGCCTCTCTTCTCCGCATCAAGACTTAGGGCCCAAGAAGGGTAGGGAAACTGAGGTGTGGGGTAAGGCCAGAAGGGGAAGAGGATCTGATCAGCCGGGATTCCCGGGTTCTGCCATTCACTCTTGGCCTCCCTTGTACTTCCTCTTTTGGCTCAAAGAATGTGAGGTTTCTCAAGCCCCAAAAAGCAGGCAAGAGAGGGAAGAACAAATAGACTTATGATTCTGGTACATTAGTTAGAAAACTCCAACACATATGTAAGAAAAAGAGAATTAGCTGGGTAGGGTGATGCATGTGGGTAATCACAACTACTTGGGAGGCCAAGACAGGAGGATGGCAAGTTCAAGGCCAGCCTGGGCAACTTAGTGAGTGAGGCGCTATCTCAAAATAAACTTTTAAAGAAGGAGTAGATATGTAGCTCAGTGGTAGAGCAGTTGTCTAGCATGGGCAAGGTCCTAGGTTCGATCCCCATACCTCAAAAAATTATTAGTTAATGAAAAAAAGCATAGTCTCTGTCATGTGCACAGCCTTTTGTATCAGTTTCTGCTTTCAGGATCAAGGTCATCCTGCAAGGGCACCATTGGGATGCAAGACCCTAAAGGAAGCAAAATGAAAAGCACACTGCTTTCTGGGGACCTTCGGGGACATTGGACTGAATTTTCCTCGATCTAGCCCAGGCAGGGGACTGGAGGGAGCAGGTGGGCTCTGAAGTGGTCATGTGAGGACAGAATCAGGAAACCACTGCCCCCCGCCCCCCATGGCTGGGCCAGTCTTGAAGGAGCTGCTCTTCCAGCTTTCCAGAGGGAAGGGACAGCAGCCTGCAAAGAAAGCCCAGCAACGTAGCTGCTGGGATGCAGCTGCAAGGCTACTGGGAGACTAGGGGATGTGGACGTGACCAAGGTCCTGCCTCTTGTCCCATCTTCCTCCTTGGGAAGGGGTGGCTTTGGCGGCTCTGTGCATCACTGGGACACTGAATGAGGCCTCGCTCCAGATAAGCTGAGCTTGTGGACAAAGTCAGCCCATGATGAGAGCGGGAAAGGGTGGTCCGTGCAGCCTGGGGGTGCCTGGACAGGAGGCAGCAAGGACCTCACAGCCAGCAGACAGAAATCCCCCTTGGAAGCTCTCTCGTGCTCGGTTAGAAGCATTCAGGGCTCTTCTGAATGTTAGAGGTTCTCAAGCTAGACAGGGAAACTCTCAGACCTTCCAAGTCCCCGCACTCCTTTGTCTCACTCTTGCAAGAAATTTTTTGAAAATCTAACTTACACCTGTCCTGCTGTTGTAGTCAGGGTTTGCAAGGGAAACGATTTCATACAGGACACACAATTTATTGGGTTATTGTATAATAGTCACCCAAAGAGTCAAATGAAAAAGAGTATGGGAGATCTGCTCACACACTGGAGACCCCAAAAATCCAGCTGAAGGCCTGGCTCTGATGACAGTGTCCTGCATAAGTCCAGCTGAAGACCTAGGATCTTGAGCATCGCTTCCTGGCTCCAGTGCAGATCCCTCAGCCTGTTGGCACAGATCCCTCATCCCACTGGCACAGACGTTCAGGGAACTAGAGATCCCCTGAAAAAAACCACAGCCATCCTCAGCAACAGCGAAGACCCGAGCTCCTCTGACCATGAGAACAGCTGAGTTCATATCAGGAAAGCCAACACAACAGGCTTCTTTAAGAGAATCAACAGCATATACCATCTTCCCCTCCAGTTCTCCTTTTATACTGCTGGCAACAATCCTCGGGTGGGCCTCCCATACCAAGCACCATGCTGACTCAGTTCAGCTGGGGGTTACAAGTGGACCATTAGTTAATCCACCACACCCGCTCTAGTTTGACCAGCTCCTATGACAACAAGCTCCTTCATCCTCCAGTACCCCAGCCCCACCCCCAGCTGACCTCCACAGGAAGAGGGGTGCTGGCTTCTCAGCCCTGTGTGAATCCTCTGAGCTCCCTGAGGTGCCCGGCATGGGCCCCCGCACAGAGCAGACTCGATGCTGGCCATGGGCATTGGTCCTGCAGGCCACCGCTGGTCTCTGCCTCAAGACTAGGATCAGAGATGGAGCCCTGATCCGCAGAACGAGGGATGAAGGAGGGGTGGAGAAAGGCAGAGGCTGAGCCCCAGGGAGCTACGCACACTGTGAGCAGGATGCCTAGGCCAGGGTCTGCCGAGAGAAACCAGCCTGCTGGTGGAATGCCCCTGTACATTGGAGGAGGGAGAGCAGAGGTTTGAACCTGAAGGTTTTCCAGCTCCAGGACTGTGACACGAGGGGGCTGGGTGTTCTTAGCGATGAGGAGAAAGGGCCCCCCCTACAAAAGGATAAATGGAGACCCCATGACACAATCCTGTTTCTCACTGTAAGACGAAAATCCATTTCTGTTCCCTCCCCAGTACTGGGGACCCCACTACCCAGGCCTAGTGGGAGCTGGTCACCCACTAGGTCAGCCCCTGATCCCCACTCCACCACAGCCAAAGAGAGCAGGAGGCAGCGGCTGCGAGACCAAGCCTAAGCCGAGGCTGGGTGCCTGGGGGCGTGGGCACCGAGCAGCTCACAGCAGCCAGTGGAGAGGGCCATGGAGCGGGTGGCAGACTTTGGGCTCTGAGCCCAGGGGCGGGCAGGCTGCTCGCCCTAGCGAGTCTGCTGGAGAGGAGCAGAGAGCACGGGGTCTTAGCAGGGCCGGGTTGTGCCAGGCATGTGCAGAGCTGAACCAAAGGGAGAGAAAAGACTGCGCTCACCCCAAGGATGTCTGCAGCATGTGGGGAGCTGCAGGACTGGGGTTGGGGGGTGGGTAGGGCTGGGAAGTGGGGAGGCCTGCGCTCCATGAAGTCCCAGGGGTATCAGAAAAGCCCCATCCAGCCCTGACGCTCCAGTGACGGTGGGGTGGCCCAGGAAATCCAGACAGTTCCCTGGGGCCACTGGCCTTGCCCTGGGCCTCTCTCCTGAGCGAAGGTGGGGGCCTGCGACAGGGGGAGCTGTACTGAGTCTGGGAGGCGGCCCTTCTCCTTTCACCCTGAGTCGGCGGGCGAAGGGGCAGGATGGGGTGGAAGTCCCTTCCCCCTCCTGCTGGGATGGGAATCTGAGGGTCTGTGTCTAAAAGTTAGACGGCAGGAGGTGGCTCACAAGCACACAGGACACCACTCCCCCGGAGACACCTGTGGGGTGGGATGGGGGCCAGGGAGCGTGCAGCATCCTGGTAACTTCTGACCTGGGAACTGGAGGGCGCTGGGGTCCAGACCCCCAACATCCGGCAGCTGCTCTGAGGAATGCGTCCCTGCTCTGCCAGCCTGGAGCACATCCGGCCCCAGGGCCAGCCTTCAAGGGCACCACATGTCCCTCCTGTCCCTCTCCCCCGCCTATTCCGTGAAATGGCCTCTGGGGTGGACAGAGGGCTCTGGGACCTGTTGCTTGTAGACCTCAGCAGAGTCTGGCGCCACTCCTGGCTGGTGGGAATCAAGTCCATTTCCGACGCTGTCATAGGCTGAGCAGCAACAGAGACCTGTGGTCACCCCCTCCAGTGGCCAGTGTCCTCCCTCCGCATCCCTGCAGCCTCAGTGAACTCTGCTGGGGACCAGAGTTTAAGCCTACACAACGTCCCCCATGCCACGTTGGGGAAGTGGCCTTGGCAGACTAAAGGTAGGAACTCTGCTCAGCACCCCTCATTATTCCAGGGTGCTCTGGGGAGGAGCTGTGGCTCTCAGCTCATCCCCAGGGAGGCCGCAGCTGCCTTGAGAAATGGTGTAATACCTGGCAGGAGGTACAGATGGGATCCTGAAGTCTGGGTCCTGGTCCAGGCTGTGCCACACGGACTTTCTTCTGTTCTTGTCTCTGGTCTCAATCATCCTTCCTGTGAAATGGGAATGATTTCCCTGGAGCCCTCAAAGCTCCGATCTCCAGTGTTCCATTTCTAGGAGGGGAAGGGATTGGGCCTAAAGAACTGTCACCAACAGCCCCTAAGAGCTTTTTGTTTTCCTCTCTGGCTTAGCACAAATGGATTCCTACAACTCACATTCAGTCGGAGGCCACTGCTCATATCCAGCACCCTTGTCTCTCCCCAAACCTACCTGGGTTTTCAGGCTTGACTGAGCCCTGTTCATTTTCCAAAGAACTGCACCTGCCCCCTGCTCAGGTCAAGGTGGGTTTCTCTTTCTCTTCGACAGCCCACCTCCCCCAGATGCCTGGCCCTCCCTGGATCCTTCCCTCTGTCTCCACACCCTGACCTCTAACCTCCGACTTCCTCCTCCCTCTGCCTCCTTCTTCCCCTCCTTACCTGTTCTTCCCCTCCTGAAACCTGACACTGGTTTCCAGGAAGTGTGTTCTCTCACTTAGCAGGACATAGTTCCATTTTTTTCCGCGTAAATTTTTTTCTTTTCTTCACCCACTGCCTGGGGTGGCCCCTGTTGGTTACTAAGCCATGGTTCTTCTCCTCTCTTCTGTTTGCACCCCTCACCCCCATAGTACTGGGTGAAGTAGAGATCAGTCCCCACCAAACCTTCCTAAATTCAAGATTCCTGAGCAAATGAGAGTTGTCTTTGTTTGAAGCTCCTCAGCTCTGCGCTGGTTTGCTATGCAGTAGATAACCAGAGTAGCAGGGCTGCGCACTTCTCAGACTGGAGCTCCCTGGGGACAAGCTGTGTCTCCCCTCAGACTGGGGCTCCTGGAAACCAAGACTGGGTCTCCCTTTAGTCTGGGGACCCGCGAAGACAGGGCTGGGTCTTCTCCAGACTGGAGTTTGCGGGGAACAGGACTTCCTCTTGTCCTACTTGGACTATATCAGAAGAGGGTTATGTCACCACCCAGATTGGAGTTCCCTTGGGGACTGGGCTGTCTCCTCAGATCAGGCCCCCTGATAACAGGGCTGTATCAGACTGTAACCCCTGAGGGTAGGGCTGTGACTTAACTCTTATGTTTTTCCCTTTAGGCAGGGCTGTGTTTCTCCATAGACTGGGGCTCCCTGAGGATAAGAATGTCTCCCTTCATGTTTTGGGGTACCTGTGACAGGCTGCGTCTCTTCTTAGATTGGGGCTTCATGAGGACATGTCCGTGTCTCCCTTTGAAGAGGGGCCCCATGACAGTAGCGGCTTCCTGAGGACAGAGCTATGTGTCCCCTAGACACTGTCTCACAGAAGCAGGCTCCGTGTCCTCAGACTGAGGCTGTCTGAGGTGAGGCCTGTGTCTCCCCTCAGACTGGTGCTGCCTGACAGCGGGGCTATATCTCCTCTCAGACTGTTGTTTCCTTAGGTGAGGACAGGGCTGTCCTTCAGATTCAAGCTCCCTGGTTGTATGGCTGTGTCTACCCTCAAAATATGACTGTGATTCCCCCTTAGACACGGCCATTCTCCCTCAGACCAAGGATTCCTGAGGATAGGAAAGTCTCCCCTCTGACAGGCGTTTCCAGGGGACAGGCTGATCTACACTCAGATTTGGGATCCTAGAGGACAGGGCCGTCTCTCCCCTGAGACTGTTGCTGACAGTAGAGCTCTTTGCTACTCAGAGGAGTGTTTCCTGAAGGCAAGTCTATTTGTCCCCTCAGGCTGTGGCTTTGTCCCTTAGAGCTGTGTTTCCTTCAACTGGTGTTCCCTTTAGGGCAGGCTCTATCACCCCTAAATTGGTGCTTCCCAAGTCAGGCTTTTTTCCTCCCCTCAGACTGGGGCTCCCCCTACAGATAGTCTCACTGGCTAGCGTGGACTTCTTAGCTCTACATAAAATGAAAATCAGACACAGACCGAGTCCTGAGCCTTGGAATGTCACAGTTGTCCACTCTCTTCTTCAGGGTCCTATAAGGGGAAGATCCCCACATGAACTTCCAAAAGGCTGAGGATTCTTGCTCAATCTGTACAGAAGTCACACACTGGCAGAGTGTAGCTCTTTTAGTGTTAACAGCCCTGGGCTTTAAATGCCAACGGCTATCTGTTCTTTAGCAGCCCTCCTTGCCAGGCAGCCCCTGGCACGACGCAGAAACTCTGTACCCACCCCCAGATGGTGGCTTCCGGCGATTCTCCGTTGTTCTCTGCCATCCTTGCTGCTCACTGTGTTCTGCGTTACTATCCCCAGCTGCTGGCTGCTTGTGGTGCCAAAGACCCTTGGTCTTGCTGGCTCTTAGGGTACAGCTCGGCATTCTCTACTTGAGAGGCAAACCAGGAATAGACAAAAATATGCCATCTGAAAGAGACTTTATTAGGACTTATGCTACCGCATATGGGGGAAAAGCACACAGACTAAAGCGCCACGGGTTTAGAGAAGCTGCTTGTATAGCAACACGGAGGGGGCTCACGTGTGCACCATGTCAGACTTGCTGTTTGGGCAGGGACCAGGAGGTCCCCTGTGGGTCTAACTGAGGCTGGAGAGGGGTGGAGTCATGGGGATGGGTCCCTGACTAAAGCTTGCTGCAGCCAAAGCACACATGGCCTGGAGTGGCCCTGGGGGTCCTGATGGAACTGAGCTCCCCGCAAGGTGTTTGGGGTAGCTGGAGAGATGGGGGGTGGTGTGAGATAAACCGTATTGCCCAGAGCGCTGGACCCTTCTCCCCTGTCTCGGTAAGTGTGTCTGTCTTCTGGGTGGTGCTCCCTGACAACAGGCAGTGTCTCGGCACAATATGGAGCACCCTGGGGACCAGCTGTTTCTCCTCAGACCTAGAGTCCCTGACTGTGTGGTTGTTTCTCCCCTCACAGTGTGACTCTCCAGGGTAGGAAGAACTCTGTCTTCCTAAACATTTTTTTCCCCTAGAATGGGGTTGTCTTTCTCTTTAGAATGAGGCTCCCCCATGACTGGACTGTATCCTTCCTTGGTGTGGCTTCCTGAGGACTGGATGGTCTCTCCTCTTTCTCGGGTTGCCCAATTTCATGGATATGTTTGCCCTCAGATTGTGACTCCCTGAGGGTAGGGCTGTGTCTCCCCCTCTGACAGGAGCTCCTGGTAAACAGGCTGATCCTCCACTCAGATTTAGCCCTCTAGAGAACAGGGCTGTCTCATTCCTCAATTCACTGCTGTGACAGATTGGAGTCACTACTGTGACGCCCCTCAAACTTAGGCTCCCCGAGCACAGGCTGTGTCACCTCACAGAGTGTGGCTTCCTGAAAATTGGGTTTTCTTTCTTTAGACTGGGACTCCCTGAGGATAAGATGTTGTCTCACCTCAGAAAACAGCTCCTCAAGACAGGAGTGCTTGCCCTCAGAACGGGGTTCCCTGACGATAGGACAGTCTCTCCCCTTCGTGTGGTTCTCCATCGGATAGGGTTGACTCTTCCTTCAGCTTACTGCTCCATGATGGCGGAGCTGTTGTCTTCACTCAGAGCGGAGCACCCTGACAGTAGGTCTGACCCTCCCCACAGACCACTTCACCCTGGCGGCACTGCTGTATGTCCCTTCAGACTCCGGAGTGCAGGTCTTTGTTTTCTCTCAACTGGACTGCCCAAGAACTGGGCTTTCTCTCCACAGCCTTTGTCTGCCCTCAGTGGGGGTTCCCTAATAGCAGGACTGTTTCTCCCCTGAGCTTGCTGTTCTGTATCAGTCGTGCTGTTTCTTCCCCCAGATGGTATTTCTTGAGTAGAGTGTTGTGTCTGCCTCAAACAAGGGCTCTTTGAAGGCCAAGTTTTCTCTCTTCTCAGACTGTGTTTTCTGATGGCGAGCTGCTTTTCTCTTCACTCTGGCACTCCTTGAGGACAAGACATCGTCTGCCCTCAGAATAGGCCTCCCTGACTACTGGCCTGTTTCTCTCCTCAGACTGGGGCTCCCTAAGGATCATTCTGTGTCTCCCCTCAGCCTGAAGCACCCTGAAAACAGACTGTGTTGCCTGACAGTGTAGGACTCCCTAACGGGAAGTGTTTCTCTCCCCTCGTCCTGAGGGCAGGACTATCTCCCTTCAGAAAGAGCTCCCTTACAGCATGGCTGTGTCTCTCCATACAGCAGCTCCTTGAGAACTGGCTGTGTTGCTATGTGGATTCCAGGCAGGGGCTTCCTGACTGAAAGACCTTGTCTCCCTTCATTCTGAGGGCAAGACTATGTCTTCTCTTAGACTGATGGTGTTGACCCTCTCACTGGGCCTCCTTGACTTCAAGAGTATGTACTGTATCCCCTCGTCCTGAGGATCCATGAGGGCAGGGCTATCTTCCTGAGAATGGGGATCTCTGAGATGAAGGCTATGACAGCCCCTTAGGTTGGGCTCCCAAAAGGAAGGCTGTATCTCCCCTAGACTGAGGTGCTCTGACAGTGGGTTATACCTCTTCTCAGACTCTCAGTGACACTTCCTGAGAACAGGGTTGTGTATCTTCTCAGATGACACTTCCTGAGGACAGGACTGAGTCTTCTCCCGGGCTAGTATTTCTAAAGGACATTTCTTTGTCTTTACTCAGCCTGGGGCTCTCTTGATTAAAGAAATTTTTTTCTTTCCTGTCAGACTTGGTCTCTATGGACAGGGATGTGTCCCTGCATCCTACTGTGGCTTCCTGAGAATTAGATTTTTCTCTCCTCATGTCAAGACTATGTTTTCTCACCTGGGTCTCCCTGAGGACAGGCTCTGTCTTCCCTCAGACTCAAGAACAGGCTTTCTCTCCTAGCCAGGGTACAGTAGCATGGGGCTGTTCTCACCTCATTCTGGTTCTTCCAGAGGGCAGGGCTGTGTCTCCACTCAGACTAGGGCAGTGACGGCAAAACTTTCAGAAACTGAGTGCCAAACTGCAGCTCCAAACCCACTTATTTATCCCAAAGTGCCAACACTGCAATTAAACCTGAATACTGAAAGTTTAGTTTAGAAAAAAACAACTCTATGGTAATATCCTTTGCCTTAAAAGAAAAACACAGGCATGCCGTAGATTCAATACCACTGGACTGTGACTTCCTAATACGAGGGCTGCTTTCTCCCTTGTAATGGGGATCCATGAATATAAGACTGTTTTTTTTTTCCCTCAGACTGGGGTTCCCTTAATACAGAACTGTCTCTCCCCTCACACGAGGCACCTCAAAGACAGGGCTGTGTCTCCCTTCATATGCGGCTCCCTGAGGACAGGGCTTTGTTCCCCTCTCGCTCTGTGGCTCCCGAGGTGGCTTTTCTGATTTAGAAGCGTGTCTGTGAACTTCTGGGTTCAATGCAGGGCAAGACTCTTATTATTCTCACCCTCCCCTGAACTTAGCTGGAGTCTCCTGTGATGCGGGCAGTGACTGCGGCCGGGGCTGCAGATGGCATCCAGTAATGCTCAAGGGTGTTTAAGCACCCTGAGAATGAAGTTTAGCCTCATTACAGCTTGTTGGAGAGAAGAGCCAATTAGGGAGGCAATTTTCCTGCAGCAGCCTGAAGAATGTGCTGAAACGGTGGCCAATCAGACAGTAAGCTTTCTCACATTTCCGCTGACCTGAGAGAGGCCCCTGTCTGCCCCCTCCACTCCTGGAAGTCTGTCAGCCACTTGGGTGTGGGCCAGGGGTCAGACAGGGTTCTTAGGGTCCCATTAGAAACCCCAGGTCTCCGGAGGTCTTTGTGAGCTGCCTCTCCCCCTTGGTTAACACCGGCGTCTAAAGCTTCAGGCTCCGGGGTGCTGGGAAATTCTTCTGGATCACTAATTGCCTTTTGGGGGGCTAAAATTTTTCTCTTACACTTCAAGGGAGGGAGGGATTGGAAGCAAACGAATCCCAGAACTCAAACACTGCCAGAACTCTAGAGTTCTTCCCACAGTCTCTGCTTTCTGCCTCAGACCTTCTCCCTCGCCTGACAGGGAGGATGGCTGCTAGCAGTGACCCCTTCTCCCCGTCACATCCCATAGCATTTCCGACAGACAGAAGTCCCAGGGAAGAGTCCCAGTTGGCCCAGCTTGCAGCATGATCACAGTTCCTCACCAATCACCTAAGAGCCAAGGGGTGAAAGCCAGCCCATCTCCTGCCACTGGAGTCAGAGCTGGTTGGGTGGGGTTTGTTCCCAGATAAAGGACCATGGGACTCCCAGGAGGAGAACAGGGCTGGGAAGGCTGTATTGTCAGCACCAACCACAGGGACACTGTCTCCTTTCCTCACCATGTGCCTGGCATCCTGTCATGTGGATTATCTATCACACCCCTTTATTTCTTGAAACAAGGTAGGGGCAAATTTCTATTATTGTTACCATGAGTTACAGGTGAGAAAACCAAGGCTCAAAGCAGTTAAGTAACTTGGCTTAACTCACATAGGTATTAAATAACAAAGTCAGGACTTGAACCCAAATTCTGGGTAGCAGGAGTGGGGAGAGAGGAAAGTACTGTACAACCCATCAGATAAGCTAAAGCTTGGACATATGAAATGGAACTTCTAATGCCAGGTGATCTGGGCCAAATGTCCCAGAGTGCCTAGAGATCTGAAGGCAGCCAGATCCTGGAGGCAAAGTTGAGCAGGCTCCAGCAATCAGGGTAGGCTTCCTGGAGGTGGTGATATTTACAAGCCCAGCAGGGTGTTTTGGATTGCTTAGAGTGTTGGCAAAGAGGTACAGCTGATGGCACTTAGAAGCTGGTTTGATGTGTTGCAGGGGTAAGAGGGAAGGAAAGGGTGGAGGACCCACAGCCTTTGCCTCAGTAGCCATGTCAGAGAGAAGGGCTACAAAGTCTGTGATAGGGCTGGACTTAAACCAACTGGCACTGGGACATCGTAGATTTTTAAACAGAAGTATTGACAGGAGAGAAATAGCATTTCTAGAAGGTGAACTTCAAATACTCACTGAGCAGAACCCACAGCCTGGGCTCAGGGGAAGGATATAGCAGCGGGAATCAGATCTGTCTGTGCCTCAATCCCAGGCAATGTGGAGCTCAGACCTGACAGCTGAGCCACTTTAGGGGAGGAGCGGTAGGCACATAGTGGGTGTTCAACAAAGAGTAGTGACATTTCCCCACCTGGACATTGTTAACATTACCAGCACTTCTCTTAGCTTGGGATGTTCTAGAGGTTGTTGGAAATGACACTCATGGCAACCAAGCAACTATTATGTGCCAGGCACTTTTTAGTGGTCTCCAGAGGTGTGTTATGACAGCAGAGATGGATGCATTTGGGTTGCTGCTCCAGTCCCATAACCCTGCACATGGTGGGACCTTATGCTGTTTTTGGTGAATCTCAAAGGTAGGTGTGTTAGTAAGCTTTTCTTGCTGACCAAATACCTGAGAAAGTCAATTTAGAGGAGGAGAGATTTATTGTGGCTTGTGGTTCAGAGGATTCAGTACAGGTCAGCCAGTTCCAGACAGAAACATCACGGCCACAGGAGGTGGAGGGGGAAATCTGCTCATCTCAAGCAAACAGCAAACAGAAAGCAAGAGAAAGACGGGGGGCCAAAGACCAGATATACCTTTCAAAGTAAGGTCCCCAGTGACCTGCTTCTTCAGCTGGGCCTTACCTCCCACTGACCTGTGAACTCAGCAACAGGTTAACCAACTAGTGCCCCAAATATCTCTCTAGCACCCCCACCACCACCACCAAACACTGCTGCACTGAGGATCAAGCTGTCAGTATAGAGACCTTTGGGGAATATTTTATATTTAACCCACAACAGTAGACCTCACAACCCCTATCTTATAAATCAGGAAAGCAAGATCCAGAGATTTAAAGGGACTTGTCCGCAGTCACAAAGCCGGAGGGTGAGCAATCAGCTTCTACTAAAAGCCCCTGTATTTTCCCTGAGAACGGGTGGGTGTCAGGCAGAAGGTGGGGGAACGTCCTACCTCCATCAGACACACTGATGAGAGGTCTGCTTTGTTCTCCCTCCAAGCTGGCTGAGCCAAGTTCAGGGTTAACTCCTCTGCCTGTGTGGGGACCCCATGGAAGCTGCCGGATGACCTGAGTCCCCGCCAGGCGCTGGCCGCTTCCGGGGAGGCTGAGGGAGGCGGTCTCCACAGCAGCGGGCAGCTTGCTAATTAGGACACGGTCTTTATGACTCACTATTCCGAGATGTCACTTTCTAGACTTGGGGTTGGGGGTGGGAGTGGAGAAGGCACACACAGTTGTTTTTAATTACATTTGGTTTGCTAATTTCTGATAGAAAATAAATATTTACCGGGAGCCATATTTCTTCATTTCACGCCGGCTGACTCCCGAGTTTATCGGGAACCCAAACGGGCACCTCCTGCTCACCACCGCCCCCGCCCCCAAGTCCCCATCCCCTTGCTGGAGCCACACAGGGAGCCGGAGGAGGGGGCGGGATGGGGAGAGAGGGAAAGGTGGGGATGCAGCGGGGCTGGCAGGGCCACGTGCTGGTGTGGGCTGCACATGGGGACCCGGGACATGGAGCTGCCCCTGTCTCCTCGTCCTCGCATGGACAGCGGCCCCAGCACAGCCAGGAGGCTGCAAGCCAGGGTGGCTCCAGCCCTGCACAAGCTCTCACCCAACATAGCCACCAGCCCTGCCTGGGCCCGGGCGGGGAGAGCTCCGAGGAAACTTCTGCCTGCCACGTCCTTGCATGTGGGACTCGGGCCTTCAGACGGGTCCCACAAAGACAGGCCTCTGGGGCCTTTTTGAGTGGTTGAGGATAGGCAGGGACTCTGTCCACTGCTTAGCCTCTAGATGGGGCTTTGCAAGACAGAGAGGGTAAGGAGAGAAAAGAAAGGAGAAGGCATGGGGGAGAGAGGAAAGAAGAGAAGGGTGAGCTGTCCTGACCTGGGGGAAGGCCGTAGGATGTGGCCTCAGGAAGTAAGGGCGTCCATTCTTCTCTGTGCTGAAAGCAAGGTTTTGGGGAGTACAGGACACACACATACACTCACACACACACTCACACACACACACACACACACACACACACACACACACGGCCCCCCTGAGGCAAGAAATGGCAGAGGGAACTAGAGGCTTCTTCGCTGAGGGCTGGACTTCAGCAGCAAGGAGGTCAGAGTAGAGCAGAGTTTCTGAATCTCAGCACCGCTGGACCTGGGGCTGGACAGTCGTCCTGTGCGCGGTAGGGTGCTCAGCGGCACCCCTGGTCTCTACCTCCAGATGCCTGCGGCACCCCTCCTCAGCCGTAGTTATGGACACCAAAGTTGCCTCCAGACTGTGTCTGACAGCACTTTTCACCTGTGTGTGTAGGTGCCCATGGGCCGAGAGGAGAAAGCAGGGAGCCTCAGGAAGACTGGAACTCTGAGCTGAGTGGTGATGGGGCCCCCAGAGGGATGGGGAAGAGATAAGGAGATTTGGAGGCAGGAGAGTGGAGAGGCCCTGCCCCCAACCTGGTTTCCAAATCCATGTTAAGCCACGACTATTTTTTTTTTCCAATTACATTTCAATTTAGCTCAATTACTTTTCCATTATTGTTCAAGCGACTCGGTTTTAATTGAAGCTGCTGGTTCTTATCTCTCTCACTCTCCCACGTACAAGGGAGGAGGGAGCAGGAGGGTTGGGGTTGATGGGAGGTTGGGGGGTTCTATGGGGAGGTGGGCGCCTTCGGCAGAAAGATCAAGGCCTCTAAAGGTGGAACACACCCAGGAGCTCTCTGGGACACCCCAGAGAGCCCAAATAAATCCACGGGGGGTGGGGGGAAGAGTGACGGACAAGGAAAGCTGTGATCACTTAACAAGAGCAGTGCTTTCCTCTCATCCATGGTTTGTCAACTGTGGCCTGAAAATATTAGTGTTTGTCTTGACTTTCAAGAGGGAAATGTTATGTTCACATAGCTTTTCTTACAGCACATTGTTATAGTTGCTTTATTTTATTACTTGTTGTTTTTCATCTCTTCCTGTGCCTAATTTATAAATTACAGGTTATCATAGGGATGTATGTGTGTATAGGAAAAAGTAGTATCTACAGGGCTCTGTATGTCTTTGCTTCAGATATCCACCGGGGATCTTGGAATATATTCTGGCTGATAAGGGGACAATTGTCCCAGATGCTGTTAGAGCCAAGACTCATCCTTTGCGTGATCCTATAAAGTGTATATTTGTTGCAGTCAGGGCTTGTAAGGTAAACAGTTTAATAAAGGACACATAATTTATAGGATTGTTTTATAATAGTCACCCAATGACTCAGGTACAAGAGCAGCAAATCTGTCCACACACTAGAGACCCAAAGAACCTAGCCGAGGGCCTAGATCCGGCGGCAATGCCCTGCATGAGTCCAGCTGAAGACCTAGAGCCCATAACAACGTCTCATGCAAGTCTGTATCAAGGATCTGCGCTGGGAAGGCCCAAAGGCCAAGGGCGGAAGCTAGAAAGTCTCTTCCAGCAGGATGAAGGATCTGTGCCAGCTGGCTGAGGGATCTGCACTGGAGCCAGGAAGCAATGCTCAGAGTAAGGACCAGAGCTCCCCTAAAAGAACCGCAGCCATCCTCAGCAACAGCGAGGTCCCGAGCTTCTCTGACAGTGAGAACAGCCGAGTTCATATCAGGAAAACCAGCGTGACAAGCTCCTCCAGGAGAATCACCAGCACCATCTTCCCTTGCAGTTCTCCTTTCATGCTGCTGGCAACAGTCCCCAGGTGGGCCTTCCACACCCAGCCCCACGCTGACTCAGTTCAGCCGGGTGTTACAAGTTGCCCACTAGTTGTCAATCCGCCACAATACTATTGCTTTTACAGAGCTAAAAACTGTGCTCCCAGAAAAATGAAGGAACTTGTTCTGAATCATACGCCTGCTAAGTACAGGCAGGGGCAATTCAAATCTCTAACTTCTGTGTGTAGGTTCTTAACTCACAGTTCCTTCTTCCTCACGGTTATAGCCAGGGGTCCCTCCCAGCCCCAGCTCTGAGGCTCTGACTCAGCTCTTTCTGGAGCATTTGATTTTTCTACCTGTCTAATCCTCTGCAGCCATCAAGGCCCAGCCTGCCCTGCCTTTGAGGAAGTCCTCCTAGGCTGTCTCTACTTTCATGTCCTCCTACAGCCCCAACCTTCCCATCCACCCACACAGGTTACTCGATGCTGCAGGGATGGGGTAGGAACAGGGGAGGGCGGGAGGAGTCAGAAAGGTGATGTTTTGGACTTGGAGAGATCAGAATTAAATCAACGACTAGCTCCGCAATTTGGGCAAATCACTTCCACTCAGTGACTCTCCATTTCCTTTGTAAACTCACTGTTAACAATACTTTCTCCTGGGGATGGGCGCTCTGAGAATTCAAGGAAATGAGATGAAGAATGTGAAATCCCAGCAGGAACTAAGAGGCTTCAGCGGGGTAAGGGTTTCTCAGTAGAGGTGGGTCAGCCTCCCCACTGCACAGGTCAGACAAAAGAACCCAGAGATGTGCTCCAGTCCTACAGGGAGGCAAAGCAGGAACCAGGCCCGGATTACCTCTTAGTCCTGGATGCCGCCAGCCCTGTTCCCCAGAGACGGGGAACTAACTTACAAATGGCATGGAGTTCCTGAGCCCTTGGGAGCATGGGGTCTGCTTCCCCCACCTTCCCTGCTTTGACAGGAGCCCAGTGGAGTAAGAGAGGGATCCCCACACCCTATGGCTCTGAGTGTGGGTGAGTGATGGAAGTAATAGTTGCTAAGCACCTGTCACATGCCTGGGATACAGACATAGCTTTCTCAACTGAGAGATGCTTTCTACTTGAAATAATAGAATAGTAGGCCAAAATGGTTTTAAATGGTTTTTCTTTTATAAGTTGCAAAAATCTGGAGGTGGGTAGTTCCTGAGTTGGTCAATGACTCAGGACTCTGCTTTCACTGCATTCACAGTGTGTACCTCATACTCACAAAAGGGCTGCCTGAGCACTATTGCCCAGCCTCACAAGACAGCTTTCTGAGCTGCAAGAGAGAGAGAAAGGAGCTGTTCTTGTGGCCCCTCTCCTTTCCTCAGAGTGAAAGGCCTTTGCTGGAAACTGTCCAACAGACCTCTCCTGGGTCTCACTGGCCAGAACTGTCATCATACAGTCACTCCTAGCTGCAAGGGAGTTTGGGAAAGGCAGACTTTTTCCTTCACCCT